CAGAGATCAGACATACATGGGCAAGACACATGACAAGAATTGGTGACTGTGGTCATTCGCAACCCGGAGTCGTGCTACCTTAATAGAGATAAGACGGTTGCATGAGGATTGGTTCAGGTGGAGGGAAAAAAAGGCACTTCAGAGCTACCCTCCAGCAGGAGGGCAGCTTTGCTCCGCAAAAAGACAAAAAAACAAACAAACAAACACCTCAGACAGACAGATATGAAACAGACTTCAGACAACACAACATAAGTGTCCACTAGGTGGGGTGGTGGGTTGGGACTATCCCCACTTCAGTTCCTGCAGCCACATTAAGCAGCGCATGCCAGCTCAGTGTGGATAGGGGGAGGAGCATTGAGGGTTGGAGGGTTGCAGTGACCCTGGAACGTTTCATCGGCCTTCCCGCAGTCCCGCCCAGGCTGGGAAAGGAGAAAGAGTTGAGTTGCCATAGCGACGGTACATTCCACATATCTTCTGAGGGAGGAGTTTTCGTTGGAGCCTTGCAGGCTCAAGGGCGCCAGATTCCGATTAGAAATTGTTTTGGGGCCAGACAGAGATAATTTCCTCTGTCTTACAGTTTGTTGGTCCTCAACCTCTCAAAATCCCAATAATGGACGTTAATCTATCCCAATCCGTACTGATTTGTCCACTCTCTCCTTGATGGCATCCATCTTTTGTGCCAATGATGAATCTCGGCCAAAGTTCAAAGCTTACGATTGATCTCGACAATTACGTGAGTCTGTGAATTCACAGCGTGGTGCAATCCATCTCTGAGCTCCGGGATCCGGCCAATATTCCTCGACAGCTCTTTAATTTTCCGGTAAGCCAGGTAGCCTCCAAGGCCAATGAGCAGGAAACCTGACACCAACACCACGAATATCCACACGTCTTCAGAGTCCTCCACAGACAGCTGAGATAAACAAATCAAGTTCCACTGTTTCCAGGAGTCCATGATGTGTCCAACTGGGTCTGTCACGGAAGGGCATCCGGGAGCCCCTTCTCCCATTCTCATCGTTGATAATTTTTTATCAGTCACGTTGAGAGACCAACTGACGAGATCCAATTTAGTGAATTTCAGTTTCCAGTTTCCAGAAAAATGCAGAAGCAGCCGTGCACTCAGCACACAGACAAAGGGCCTTGAGGATAAGATATGGAGGAGAGGAGGAAAAAAGCGTCTGCGCCCTCCAAGAGCCGGAACACCAGTGACTACTGAAAATGTATTGATAAAACGTGTGAACCACACCTTTTCGGTATATTTTTTAAACATTTTTTGCCTTTGTAGATTATTCCCTTCCTAAGTAACAAATTACATGCCAATCACAGTTTTTAAGACAAATATTCACTCAAACTAGATTTTCATCAGCTTGAAGTTGAAGATGTGTTCATTGTGTCCTTTTGCATGTGTCCTGCCCTTGCTTTAGTCTGCCGGCAACAGATGATGCAAAGATGATCAGCTCAGAGAGCAGCAGCTACAGTAGACACCAATATTTTATGTGCTACATTCAAAACACAATTTGGAAAGCCTTAGTTACTGTAGAAGAAATGAAAGAACAGGAAGTGAAGCTAAAGAGACAGACTGGGGAACAAAAGGGGGATTTGAACTTCTTGGTTTTATGTGGCTGAGTTTGTCATTTCAGTTATGTTTAATTTCCAGCTCACCCAACGAAACATTAAAATTATTGTAACTGACGTTTGACTCAAAATGGCACTGTGTGACCACTTGGCTCCTCTTTGTGGTGCAGGAAATAGCATAAAATCAATCAATCAGTCAATCAATCAATACTTTATTAATCCCAGAGGGAAATTAGAGAGTGAAGAAAAAGAGAAGCAGCATCATGCATTGTATACAAATGCAGCCGAAAGCACCCCGACCTGCTATGAAGAAGTTGCTGTCTCTCACGGAGCGGGGGGAGCAGAGTGTGTCTGAATCCGGGGAGCAGAATGTGCTGACACCAAACAAAAGGGGAAAGAAAAGGATGGAAAACGTACCAAAAAATTACAACAAGCAATCAAACGAGAAAGCAGTAGCAATTTCCATATTTGCACGGATGAGAGAGCTTTGTGCATCGAAATGTTCTCCCCTTCGGAAAGCTGGCAACTGACAAGAAGAGATTTCCTAAAAGATTTCCTGGTGGTACTCACGGTGAATCTTTAAGAGGTTGAAGCTGTGTTCAAATCTCATTGACTAAGTAAAAAGTTGTTGCAGCTGAACTGATTGCCTGCATGTTATTAAAGGATTTGTGAGGTGTGGTGGTGTGCTTTCACCATAATCTCTTTATATGAACATTCATTCAGATTTAAATATTCCTATATAATTACCATGCTAGATGAATCCATAGTGGCTCTCCAACTGTTGGATTTGGAAACTCGTTAATCAGGTCTGCTTATTTTACTGAACTCGCATCAGATTTGAGACGTCGGCCATGTTTGAAAACTAGATTTAACAACAGGGGATCTTGGGCTTCCTGCTGCTGTGGGGGCAGTGCCCGGAATGGGGAATGCCTCCACTGCTTCCCCTCCAAGTTTTGAGGCCAAGGGTTTCCTTTTCAACTGCAATCCTCACCATCCATTTAGGTTAGAAGCGTGGTTTGGGGTTGGTGCTCGCTCCGCTGTGTGGGGTCGGGTTGGCTTGGTCGCCCCACACTGGCTGACCCTCACGGGGCAATGGGGTGGGCCCTTGGAGCTAGGAGTCTCACTCTGGGGTGGCCTGTATGGGGACAACAGTGTGTTGGGCTGGGAGCTCCAGGCTTGGCGACCCCAAATGGGTTCCCATTGGATGGGGGCTACTGCCCTGGCATCCTCTGGCTGCCCCCCCTTCCTCCCTAGGCTCAGGTCTGTCCTCTGGGCTGACTGATTGGTGGCTGCTGGGACGTGTGTGGCCCCAGATTCTGGAACTGCTGGGATCTTGGCTGCCTCTCTCATCACATACACATAAAAATAATAATAATAAAAAACCACTCTTGGTGGCAATCCCACTTTCAAACACCTACAAATACTTAGCGACTCACATAATGCGAGCATGCTCTTCACTGGCGTTCCTAGCTCAGTCTTAAATCGGCTGCAGGTTGTCCAGAAGGCAGCTGCTCGTTTAAGATGAACACAAATCAACGTAGCCACTTCACTCCAGTCCCTGTCGCATTCCGTGTACAGTTTAAGCTGCTGACTTTGTTTTTAAAGCAATGCACAACCAAGCACCAGCACATCTGTCTGAATTGCTCACGCCATATGTTCCCACGTGCTTGTTGAGGTCAGCAGATCACCTCCTGCTTTGCAGTCCATGGATGCGCTGTGAATCGTGGGGCCAGCGAGCGTTTGTCCTTGTGACTTGTTGGACAGCTTCCCTGTTTTATTGTCTTATCTGAGCTTTTAGAGTTTTCTATGTCAGTATTGTTTTTATCTGTAATAATTTTGTGGCTGCATCTATGCTTTTAGTGTTTTCTATCTTTGTTTTATTTGCTTTTAGTTTGTTGTAATTGCCTGTGCAGCACTTTGGGCAGCTCTCGTGCTGTATTAAGCTGATGTATGTTATCGTCAGTGTGTTTATTAGAGCTGAAGGTCACAAAGCAGAAAAACAAAACCATGACGGCTTCTGTCATGGCCAGTGTTGGGAGTAACGTGGTACAAAAGTAATTATTTACTATAACACATTGCTTTTTGCTGTAATGTGGTAATGTAAGGCATTACAGGGATAAAAAAATGGTAATATTTACTTGGTACAATTGTCAGTAACGTGGTAATTACAATGCAGTTTTAAACCCAGAATCAAGATGTGGATTTCCTAAAAATTCAAATTGCGGGAAGCCTGAAAAAAAGATCCAGTATCTACATATATGACGTCATTTATGGACTCAGCGTTGCGGGCATTCTATGAGCAGAGAGGCCGCAGCAGTAATGGCTCAAATACTCCAGCTGCGTCCTGCGCGTGGCCGTTGTTATATTCACAAAACCGCTCCACCAAAACAAAGTAATTTGTTTGCGATCGTTTATATCAGCCCATATTCTCTGGTACTTCATGTACTTTTCAGCTGAGTTCATAATCTGTGCCCTGGTGATTTCAATTCATTGCTGCTGAATTGCAGCGCATATTAAGCTTTTTATTTTTATGTTTTTGCGTTCGGTAGATCCCTTTGGCTGAGTAGTTAGAAAGCAGGAAGTCTAGGAAACAGTTTTTCTGGAAAACAGAGAAAACATGCAGCATGCAGGAAGGTTAGAGAGAGAAAGGGCCGGAAATTATTCAAATAAAATCAAGAAAACAAAACAAAGTGCTTGAAAAGAAAAAAGTAGGTAGATTTATCCCCAATACACATTTTTACCAGTGAAAAACAATAATATATAAGCATTTAATATTTATACATGTGATAGAATCAGATCACCCCAGAAGTCAGTCCCACATCCAGGGCCGTATCAAGGCATTTGGGGACCAAGGCAAATATAGGCTTGGAGCCCCCACCACCTCACTCCCTGATCAGTTAATATAAGATGGCAGCGTGCTGAGAGTACAGATTGTTGTTGGTTTTATTTAATAAACAATCATTTTAAAGCACTGTTATTATATCTGACTGTTTTTAACAGCAATCCTAGCTCAGACACCACATCACCTTCCACATATATGTCATGAGCTCACTGAGCGTCACATGACCAGATTCATACTGAAGTTGTTTTGGTGAAAGTATCTTAAAGTAATGCAAAAGTAGTGTGATGCCTTACATTTTAAAATCAGTAATAGTGTAATGTAATGGATTACTTTAAAATGAGGGTAATAAGTAATAAATAATGCATTACAGTTTTGAAGTAACTTGCCCAACACTGGTCATGGCCGCCTCTCTGTCTGCGAAAGTGGTTTGAGTTGCCAAACCGAGAGCAGCAGGAGGAGAACGCAGGGTCACAGCACTAGAAGGACTACAAAATGAAGCACTTCTTGTTGAAGACAGTTCAATTTGTGCATTTTGAAAGTTTTCTTTAATTAATGTGGGTTGTTGTTTGTTTTTAATTTCTTGCAGATGCAAAAAAGCAAAAGAAGGAAGGGAAGAAGCGCACCCCAATGAACTGATGAGGATTTCTGAGGCTGAAAGGCGGAAGCGGAGGGTGGAAGGACGTCCACTGCTGTTTCCACATGGTTGCTGTTTATATGTTCTATAGTATGATGACAGTAGGAGCCTGTGTAGCTTTCACAAAAGCAGTGAAAACACAACTTTTAGTGACAATGTATTCTATTTTTTCTTGTTTTTAGCACCTGAAAAAAAATAACATCTTGTATTCTGCTGTAGGAGATATAATTCACAGCGGTAGGGTTGGATAATGAGAAGATTTGTTTACTAGCTTTCTCACTTAATGACGTTATCTCTTGGATTATTGTCTTGAGAGCAAATTGCCTAGGATTTATTTTACAGTATAAATAGCCCAGCTCTAATTTGGTAAAACTCTTTATCCTGTTCTCCGCCTTAATGAAAATAATTGTCTGAAGTAAGGCTTCAAAACATTCACATTAATTAATTTGAACAAAATAATGCATTTGTAATTCTAAGAGTTAAAGAGCCCAACAAAAAAGTGGAGTTCTTTTGTTGCTTGAAGACGTTTTATCCCTCATCCCAAAAGGCTTTCATCCCTTCTGATCATGGTTTGGAAATCCGGGACTCACAAACTGTTGTAGAACAAAGCCAACTGAGGCCACTGCGTGCAGGCGAATCACCGACCCGCCCTTCCATTATCCTTATGACTCGACGAACTCCTCTAAACAACATGCCAGTGGCATGACTGGTTATGAGATGTTGATGGAACGCTGATGAGTTGGCTGCTCCGTGCTGAGCCATCTGTGTTCAGAGGTTATATCCGGGCTGCATGGTGGCGCAGTGGTTAGCACTGTTGCCTCATAGCATGAAGGTTGCAGGTTCGAAACTCGGCTGCGGCCTTTCTGCATGGAGTTGTGTGTTCTCCCCATGCATGCGTGGTTTTCCTCCGGGTACTCCGGTTTCCCCCACAGATCACAACATGCCCTATAGGTTGTAAATTAAGTGGCTTTGGATAAAAGCGTCTGCTAAATAAATAAACATAAACAAAAACATCCTGCGCATGACTGCAGGTGCAACACGGCTCAGCTTGTGTTTCCGTGTTTTTTCCTGACAGTAAACCTGAGTTTCATTGATTCTCTCACTTGGTTTTCTTTTCTCCTTCACTTGACTGAGGTCCTGTCCACACGTAGCCGGGGATCTGCCAAAACGTAGATATTTTTCTACGTTTTGGCCTGTCATCCACACGAAAACGGAGTTTTTTTACACGAAAACGGATCTTTTTAAAAACTCCGGCCAAAGTGAAGATCTGTGTTTTCTCCGTTTTGGGTGTCTGCGTGTGGACGGACAAAACCGGAGTTTTAAGATCCGCAACGTCACTTTCCGCGACAAAAAAAATGCTGACATCACGTGTGCGACCTGTGTTTACACTAGCCGACAGCATGGAAGCCCTCAGAGCTGCGCTCGCTTTATCAATTGTCCAAGCGCTTTCTGCTTGTTTGTTTTTGCAAGAGGAATTACTGCTCCTTGCAGAAGACCACAGACGAAGGACGAGGTTAAGAACGGGGGAAGTACTGCCGCCTACAGGTCCGGCATGTCCTTAACAACGTATTTATCCGGGTACGTGTGGACAGAGTTTGTTTTTAAAACGTGGTGGTGTGGATGCAAGTTTTTGGAGGGGCGGATATTCGTTTTTAAATAACCCCGGCTACGTGTGGACTAGGCCTGAGTGTCTTTTAACTTCCTGAATGCCTTAACAGAAGCCTGGTTAGTCTCAGTAGGGTAGAAGGGATTCGTTGATAGGCGTTGTTTTTTTTTTTTAATTTTTTGTCTTTCTCTTCTGTTCTTTTGGGGAATTGTTCAGGTCCTTTTTGTAGAGTTTCAGATCTACATGCATGCAGCTCGGGTGGCTCAACAGCTCATGTGACTTTACTAGTCCCAGCTAGTGTGTATCATTCTCAGTGATGCTGCAAGGTTGTCATGGAGCCCCAAGTAAGAAGGCTGTCTGTCTGTCTGCAGTAACAGGTGGGAGTGGTTGTGGTTAGTGTTTGTTGCGGTGGTGGGACAAGATTAGCCTTTGGAGCAGTTGGTTGGGAGGGTTAGGGCGCCATCAGGGATTCTGAGACGGCCAACAGTGTTTTTATCTGTCTCACTGTTACGGCTCGGACTTGGTTCAAACATGGTAACTGTCACCTCTGGGGGGCCCCTGAGGGACCCAAGCAATGGCCTGCTCTGGCTATCAGCTTGTGATTTTTCCACAATAACTTATAAATCTGGAAATCTAAAACCACCAAACCATGATCTGAACTGAAGAAGGCTTTTGGACGAGCGGCAATCATTTCAAACCCTTGCCACATCCTGTGTGAGTGGGCATCTTCACCTCTGTGCATTTTGTACTGCTGAAGTTTTCACTTCCTGTCAAACTCTGATGAACTTTACAGCAAGCCATCAATATAACCCATTTAAAACATGTTTAGTGTGATCTCCTGCTGCTTTGTCTGTACCTCAATTTACAACCACGTATTTGTAACGACCCCTTCCTCTTGAATGTATCCTCATTTTAGGTCTTAATGAAATTTAACATCTTGTTTGCTTCTTGGTTCTTTTTCAAAACTCAAAAAACAATAAAAGTTAGAAAAACGACCAACATTGTCTGGACCTTCACTTGCAATGAAAAAAGCTTACAGTTTCCAAAACATATCTTATAGTTTTATTTGAAGAGGTTATGGTACAATGTAACCACTTAATGCCGTTTATTTTACAGTGGAATAGCTGTCCAGTGATTAAAAACACTCCATAATCAAAACAGAAATCAATACCAATGTTACTGTTGAGGAAGTATTTTGTATTAATCAGAATAAATCAGGGCTTTTATTTTGAAGGGGGGACATTCAGATAGCTATGAAGTGTATGTTACATATAATGTATTCTCATATAGATATATACAATGTAAATAACTTTTTTCCTATTGCAATAGAAGCCACAAGCCACAGTGAAGTGATACACAACGAAACACCCAAAGTACAGAAGAAGAACGGAAAATGAACACTTGAATGTACAGCTAACACTTGCAGCAGGCTACAACATTTTTTTGTTGCTTTTTAAAAATATTTTTTCATTTGTGACCCTTAATCAGATCACGGCTCCTTTAACACTCACGGTGGCTTAAAAAAAGGCAGAATAGTAAAATTCCCCCAAAATAAAACAGAATAGAAAACAAAAAATTCAAAGTTTTAACGTGTGTCCACAGAGTGAAGCAGCGTCTTCCCAGGGTGAGGGTGTAGCCTCATAAATTTACAGGTGAAATCAAAACGAAAGCCCTCGCCGCTGGGCTTTTGGGCCACGCTGAAACGAGTTTTAGCTTTTGTCGTCCTCTTGGGTCTTTTCTCCTTTCTCCCCCTCTCTCTGTCTCTCTCTGGCTGCAGAAGTCATTTTACAAATCTCCAGGACTTCTGCATTCAATGTGTGTGTGTGTGTGTGTGTGGGGGGGGGGGGGGGGGGGATTGGGGTCGAGTCTTTTTATTTTCCTTTATTTTTTTGCAAGAATCCGGTTCTTTGCAAATCCTAAACCCCAGAAACACACACACAGTTATACTTTCTGTCTGACACTTTCATGATCCATAATATCCACAGGTTACATTTTCAAACAAGTAAAAAGAAACTCTGGCTGTACACTGGTTATAATATACTGTGCATCACTACGTTTACACTCTGTACAATGAAAATTGACACAGATTTACAAAACATGATAGAAAATGTACAATTTCATGTACTGACATGTGTTCCAGTGGCACAGAGAGCTGTGTCTAGGTGAGTCTTTGGAAGAATTCTGACTACATAAAGAGAAATGTGGGAAACATGTGCAGGAATTGGGGGGGTATCTTTGCAGAAAATTGCTAGAAGTTGGTCAATTTGATGATTTTGTGTCATTTTAGGGAATAAAAGAGCAAAAAAAAGAAAGCTACATGCACCCACACACTTTAAAACTATTGACAGCACTGATCCGAATGATGACAGACACAGCATTGTCCATCTGACAAATGTGGATGGACACACACACACACACACACACACACACACACACACACACACACACACACACACACACACACACACACACACACACACACACACACACACACACACACACACACACACACACACACACACACACACACACACACATGCACACAGAATGAGAAATGAACAGAAACAACCCGCCGTTTCACCATGGCGTTACTTTAAATTTGTCACTGCTGCGACAGTCTTCTGTTTATGATAAATGGTTCCAAAGGCATTGAGGAAATCACTTCAGAGATTTCAGTCAAAACTTCTCATTTCCACCACAATCAGGCCGCTAAAGTAGGAATATTTGAAGCTCAGAGCTGAAGAAAACAAAACATTTTGGAAGACTGGATAGCAAGCCTCCCTAACCCTAACGTACACCACATTTAATACGTGCCTTTCCCAGCGCCGCCACTTTAAATACACACCGGGAATTTTAGGTTAAAAGAGCAATTTGTTTCTCACATTCTGAATAAGGCACGTCAAACTGCTCCGTACAATCCAGCGATATAGACAAAGTGCTGCGTTTTCAGCTTGGAGCCGGAGAAACCTTCCAATTCACGTCGCGTCTGATAAAACATTACCTGTCATATGTACTCCACAAAAGGAGCGTAGCCCTTTGATAGAAGCCGTGTGAACAGGAGCCCTTCTAGCTCTCACGGCACGGTACGATCTGATGATTATCACAGTGACTACGTTTGTTTTAGTCCTGTTGGATGGATGAGCGTCGGAATGGACCCGTGAAATGTTGAGGTCGTGATCAATGAGCAGGGAAATGATGCTTTCTGTTTGCACGACAGCAGAATGAGACAATAAAAGGTGCAGGAGTGTGGGTGTTGTATCACACCGTGTTTATGCCAGGCAAGAGGTTTCATCTGGGATGTTGGAATTCCTGGCTGACCTTCCTAGAGCAGCTTCTCCAAACACAGACCACCTGCTGTGTGATCGTCTTGGATCTAGTCTCTAACAGACACCATTCACCGCCCATGTACTTGTCTGTTTTCTTGTAATGACAGCGACAAAAGCATCCTTGTCTGTTTCACATGTACAGAGCTCGCCATGGGGTCGTCAGATGGATCCGCCCATGCAGCTGCACTCTTCCGTTGTCACCAACAACACTCTCTTGTTCTGCCATGAGCCTGAACTCTGCCAAATCAGATACAAGAGTGCCTTTTTTTGTTTTCCTCCTTCTGGGTGAATCGGTGCATGAGAACACTGGTCCCTGAATTAAGCACCCCCCGTCCCCCTCCATCAGGTGATAAACTGCATTTGCCCTCTATCAAACATCCAGGCAGCTGCTCAGACTGACCCCTGAACTGCCGCTTGAGCTGCGACCCACTTACTGCCCTGCTGGTATTCATCAAACAACAGCTTGGCAAAGATTAGTCAGATGTTTTTAGAAGGCTTTTTACTTTCTTCTGGGATGTGTGACAGATGTCAGACAGACGCGGCTCCACTTGGACATGTGACTGATATCTGGATGCTGAACTCACAGAGACCTGACCCCTGGCAGAAACATTCCTATTTTAGTCACATCCACTTTTAAATTCTATATTTAAAAAGCAAATGCAAAGGATTGTAATATTATATACTAAACATCTGGGGAACATTTCAAAAGGGCACACTGTTATTTGTTTCCCGATGCAAACAAAGTTTCACATTGGTTAAAGTATCACATTATCACATAGCTAACATTTCACTGAATGTTGTTTTACCACTTCATTCAATCCACATTTGGGGATCCTGCAGGTATTCCTGGTCAAAACGCTTATTTACTTTTACCCTAAATGGAAGCAAGCAGATGCCACTTTTTAATGTAAAGGTAAAGAAGTTGAACAATAAAGAAAAAGGTCAAATTGTTGATAAATCAAGAAAAGTTCTTTATCTGGTGTTGGAGATTACTGTATATGAAACTCCAAGCAAACCTCATCTAATCATCAACCTCATCAATCACACCTGTTTCATCTTTGTTTGTTTCTGCACTTGCTTCTTGTTTGTTCTTTTGCATACCCGTTTCTGCTTTGTTCATGTACACAAATGCTCCTCGTTTGTCAATCACCACACTTGTTTTGTTTGTTTGTATCCACACCTGTTTCTTGTTTGTCCATTCGTATGTTTCTGCTTTGTTCATGTACACAAATGTCCCTCGTTTGTTAATCACCACACCTGTTTAGTTTTTTCCCCACACCTGTTTCTTGTTTGTTCATTTGTCTGTCTCTGCTTTGTTCATGTACACAAATGTTCCTCATTTGCCAAACACCACAAACTGTTTTGTCTTTTTTCCACACCTGTTTCTTGTTTGCTCTTTCCCACATCTGCTTCTTGTTCAAGAATGGTCACACCTTTCTCCGTCATTAATCACCACACCTGTTTCTCCTTTGTTAATCACCACACCTGTGTCTTCCTTGTTCGTTCCCACACCTGTTTCTTGTTTACCAATGGCACATTTCTCCTCTGTTAATTGCTACATGTTAATTGGTTGTTAAATTCCATGTCTCCCAAGTTTGTTAATCACCACATCTGCTTGTAGTTTACATAACACAACTTCCTATAATCAGTCCTGTTTTTAAAGATTAACAACACATCTGTGTCAATGTTTACTATATCTGCTTCTCATTTATTAATCTCCAAACCCGCCTGTTGTGTATTAGTTGTCACGCCTGCTTTGTTCATGAATGACCACACCTGTGTTTTGTTTACTAACCACTACATCTTGTTTATTATTTCCTTTGCATGTATATTACAGACTCTTGACCTGGATGTTTTTTTCAGATCCTTGTCATATTCTCTATTTGTGCATTTGTTTTAACTCTTTCACCACCAGCCGTTTCCTGATCGCTAACGGCCTTCGCTGCCAGCGTTTCTAGCCGTTTTTACTGTTTTTTTAAGAGTCACAGAACGTTGCGCGCTAGCATGATGTCGATGCCAAAACAACCAAAACAAAGAGGAGACTCACCTCTTACATCAGGAAGAAGCCGCGTGTTTCGAGCATTATCCGTTCTTTCATAATCCGTTGTTGAATTGTGATCGGCAGATGCTTCTCCGGTTCGCGCCTCACTTTTTTTACAGGAACGGCCCAAAACGATCTCCAAACACATGGATGGTCTGCTTCCTGATCATGTGATCTGTGACGTATGCGGATGAAGATCGGCTTCAGGGCTGAGATGCTTGTTCTATCAGCGCGGGGACTCGTTCCAATGCTCAAACAGTAAAAAAATGCAAATGACGACTTTAGTCGTCATTGGCAGTGAACGGTTGGATCTAAAATGACGACTTTAGTCGTCAATGGCATTGAATGAGTTAATAGTTGATTTCTTGATACTTTGTGTAGATTATCTATTCAGGTTGAAAACATTTTTGTCATGACTGATGGGGTAGAAATGACCCAAGAGCAAACTGAACTAAAAACTTTATTATGACAAATCCATCATATTTGAGAAGCATCGACTGCGATTAACCTCTAAACAAACTTTGCAGATGTAAATGGAATTTCTCATTTTAAATTGTTACATGCAATTGTTCTTTGAACTATCATGGGGGCTTGCCATTTGCAGCACACAGCCAACAGTATAACTTAGGAAGTTTGAGCGGCTTCTCCAAAGCGCCTTTGGCATTTTGACAGTAATTCTTATCGTTGTGTTTTTAGCATTCAAATAAACAAAATATCAAAATGATTTAAAAAATAGTCAGTAGCTAGGATAAGGCTAAATGTGAGCTAAAATGGAAATCAATGCCCTATTTACCTTTCCATTAGCTTAAACACACAAAAAAATGTAACGTCTTGCCTGGATTCAAAAGTCAATTACTTCAAAATTTCACTCGTAGCACAAACAAAAGCGCAAAGCGTCCCTGCCTCTATCCGCTGTAAAGTTCAGAAAGCAATAATTCCAGGTCAGGACTTCATTTCCTCCTCCAGCCAGTAAGGTCAGAGGATAAATGTGCTTTTTGAATACAAAAATATGACTGTTTGCTCTGCACTAGCTCTGCACGTCAGTGCTGTTTCATAGTGAGGTGAGATTTGGAGCATGAAACTGTAAATGTTAATGAAAAACAAAGCAAGGTACACAAATGTACATGTGATATTTATGTTTCAAGCATGACCTTATAAGAACTCTGCCCAGATAAGGAATGAGCAGAACAATACAGTAAGTGGGACATGGGGGTGTGGCATGCAAGCACAAGCTGAGTGTGTAATGGGCAGTTTTTAATCTCAATTGTAGGTGTTCCACATCAGCCCATAATCTGATCAGCCTCATGGTGAGTTTTCATTACAGGATCTGCCCCAGATCTCTCTTTAAAGCCGACAGCCTTAAGGAGCTATTCTGTGCAGGCGTAAATCTTTGCAAAGCCCCCCTACCAGCCTATGTGGCAACCTCCTGATGGCGAATGCTGCTGCATATTCATCACTCCAACTAGCTAGCTATGTTAATGTAACTGAGACTTGTCTAATAGGCAGAAAGGATGGTTGATGTGCATGAAAACCCACTTCTGCTGCTGAAACAAACACAAATTATTACTTCCAATTGAACAATGATGATTTTAAACTCATAATGAGGACAAAAGGAAGGTGAGGTACAACAAGCACGCAAATAGCCCTTTTGAAATCACGAGGCGGTGACCTGTGATCAGAAGTAAACTCCACTCTTGGAGTGCACAATCACACATCAGCATTTACACACACACACACACACACACACACACACACACACACACACACACACACACACACACACACACACACACACACACACACACGAACACAGCAAAATGCCATCCCACAGACATTATAAACAGGACAGCTCTGAGCTCCAACCTCCTGTTTCACTCACTGAGTAGGAGTCGTCTTTGCAGTGGCGAACAAGTTGACAGCAAACATAAATATCTTAATAGCTGCCGCAAAAATCCACACCTGACATCCTGTCAGCAGTAAGAGCTGAAGTGACGAGGTCTGTGGAGGATCACAAATGAAAGTGTGACCGAACGATCCCATCCCATTTTATCTTCTTTCAGACGACGTCTGGTTTGTTCGTTGTTTCATGAGTTACGTTTGTTTGCAACGGTACGTGACAGGTATTTACACAGAGACTCTGAGAACACAGAAAATGTGTTTTTTACTAAGCATTTGCATGTGGATTTTAAAAGGTGGGCGAGTGGATCATTTTCCAGGGATTTCTAATCTCCGTGCTACACTAGACTAACTGCAACTGCATGTTTGAGTGGTACCTTCTCATCCAGCTAGAACAAAAATTAAATAAATCTGACCAAACTAGTTAATTTTTAGTAATTCAAATGAATTTGGGAGTTTTAAAGGTCAACTTTACTTAGATTTACCTAGAGGTTAAAGTAGCTTCAGGAGTCGTCCCACTGTGCAAAGACCTAGTTTGGACGTCCTACAGATGCGGTCTGGACCAACAGACTCAACATAGACATGATCTGCACGTCCATGCGATGTTGACTGTTTGCAGGGTTATTTCCTAATATTTTGGACATCTCGCTTCTGATTGGATAACAGCAACAGGACTATACCACTGACTCTTTGTAACGATGTTTTATCACCACAAATACATGTGCTAATGCTAGCAGTTAGCTTGTACTAGCGAGGCGTTCTCTGCTGTTTCCTGAACACTAAACCAACAACAGCCACCCTCGTCGTGAGCCAAGATGGGCAAGTCCATAAAGTTAAGTGACAGTGTGACGTAGATCTTCAGATCCTAGAGTTTCACCTTCTATTTTCTATCAGAAGCTAAAGCAGGAGAAGGTGTAGGAGACTATTTTCATGTTCAGCCTACATGAAAAACTTAGAGTACCCAATTATAATCAGAAATAATAAATAAAGAAAAATGTATTTTAGTGAAGTTGACCTCTAATGAATAGATATTTTATACCTGCTGGGAAATTCTATAAACATATAAACATTTTCCAATTTTATTAATGCCCCAAAATAATAGTTAAAATATTTTTAAACTAAAACGACAGGTTAATTGTGTATTTTATTAGACAATTAAATAATTTTCTACTTTATTAATACTACTGTGGTAAAATTGGCACTTGCCACAAATAGTACTTAAAGTATAGTACTAGAGCAAAGCGCATGTATCGACATTCTTAAGGGAATGTACTAATCCTGTTAACCCTTTGATGCATGAATTATGAAATCTTCAACCATGATTTTTTTTAGCAATTTTTTTCATTCATCTTTAGGTGTGAATGAAACAAATTTCAACAAATATTTTTCGTAAAATTTTATAATTTACTAGTAATCTATTACATGTCCACCTCAGTGGACAGCGTGCATTCTGAGCATGAAATATGTTGGCTTGACTTACTGAAGTCCAAATGGAGGGGCTCAAATGCAATAAAGTCTTCAACAGCTGCGCTTAATAGCAAAAATAAATAAATGACAATTTTGAGTACCTGTCCACTGTAGTGACCATTATGCATCAAAGGGTTAAAGAGATAGAGATAACTAGTGATTAGTCTAGAGCATGTTCAGAAACTGTGCTGAATGTGTTGAACTTCAATTAGAAAATGTTTGAAACTCGTGCTCGTACATTTTATAGCATATAAGATAATTAAACTAGGAGTCAACGAATGAGATGATTTAAGGATTTAGGATGAATTTTATACAGTTATAGGTTTGTATTAATATTAGTCTAAACATCAATAAGGATGCCCTGACAAACACAACACTAACGTTCCTCACATCTGATTTGAAATGATGACACACATTTGAAAGAAACAACACTTTTTATGCTGAATCATCTTTCAAAGCCAAATCTTTTAGAAATCGTTGTATCACTAGTGCAACTTTGTTCCATAAATGTGGTGCGAGCTGTTTCCCGGGCTCTTTGTTAGCTGCTATGGCGACCAGTCTGGATGGGGGTTAGGGTTATCAAAGGCTACGCCCCAATTTGTTCTACATGTTGCTGGTTGGAAGAGCCGAGACAATGAGCGCACACAAACAAAAAGGCAAGCTGAGGTCCACATGTGGGTGTGCACACAAACACAGAGCCAGCACAGACCCACATGCGCACACACAAGTAGAATACACACTTTTATGTACAAATATCTACAAATATCTTCTCTGAACTTCAAACTTGCAAAGTTTGTAAACTCAGTCAGCCCTATTTTCCCATTTAGAAAAATTCCCATCTTCCTTAAAGCGCAGACCTCCTTCTTGCTTTCTATCTGAGATCCTTCCTAAATCAACTCCGCGTCGTTCCAGGTATTTTCTGTGCATCATCTCATATGGTCACCACTCTGCAGACGTCTTGTTTTGCACAACCTTCCTTTTCTGTGCTGCATCTGCACAACGTCTCCTAATGCAACTCGCTTCAGTTAAACAAGTGTAAAGTGCTACAACTGGTTATTGAGAGAAATTGGAAAACTAATAATATAATCAGAAAGTGATTTCAAAATGGACACTTTTTTTCCATTCAAATCAACCTCTTTCGCAGAAACACTCACGCATGTATGACAAACACACATTCAAACACACACACACGCACCCACACTCGTTCCCCCCTCCACTCATGCACGCCAACACACACACACAGACAAACGCACACACAGACGACTCAAATATGCTACTCATACTTCAGTGCCTCCGCCATGGGGGCTTGTACTTATCTGGCTGACCTAATATTTTTATATTGGCAGAGAAGGAGATGTTTGAATGTCTTTTTGAAGGTGGCGTTGCACAGAGCGTAGCAGGCTGGATTGATGGTGCTGTTTATGTAGCACAGCCAGTAACCAATAGTCCACACTGTGTTGGGGATGCAGCTGGAGCAAAACGTGTTAATAAGCACCATCACATTGTATGGAGTCCAGGTGGCCACGAAAGCTACCAGGATGGCCATGATGGTGCGGGTGACTTTTTTCTCCCGTGACGGCGCCCCTTTCTTCTTCTTGTTGGGAGGCTGTTTGGTCATCTTCACAATCTTTCTTGCAACGTGGTTCTGCCGCTCCGCGCTTGGGACGATCTCGACGGTGGCGTTCGAGGGTGTGTAATAGTCCCCTTTGGGTGACTTGGTTTTGATCTTGATGCAGGTCAGCTTGGAGCTCCCTGCCTTGGCCCGCTGACGTGGAAGTTGCTGGCTTGGCTCAGCATTGGAGTTGGCTGTAGCTGGTGCTGGTTCTTCGTCTTTCGGATTGGAAGCGGCCGCACTCACAGATGTGGAGTCATTTGAGCTCTCTTTCTCCTCTGCAGGAGCACAGTTCTCCCTTTGCACACTGTCACCCTCGTTTTTGATCTCAGCATTGGAGGAGGAAGGACCTTTGCCGTTCTGCAGTTTTCCGTCATGCTGATTGGCCCCATTATCCACATCCTGGTTCTGGGAATGCTCCGTGTCTTCCCTTGGTACATTGTTATTGTTGGGTTTTGGAGTGCTCTCTCTCCTTTGGCCAGGCGAAAGAGGTTCTGGATTGGCTCCAGATGGCTTTCGGTTGTCCTTCTTCACACGGCTTTTGCTCGCTCTGGAGATCTGCCAGTAAAGCTGAATCATGATAATGACAGGCAGGTAAAAGGCGGCGATGGCTGTTCCAAAAGTGACAGCAGCATTGGAAAAGAACTGGATGTAGCACTCCTTCTCAGGTACTGTCCGCCCACCAACAATAAACTGCCAGAAGAGAATAGCGGGTGCCCAGAGGATGAAAGAAAGAACCCAGGCAGCAGCGATCATCATTCCTGCCATCTTGGTGGTCCTCTTTACGGGGTAGCTGAGGGGCTTGGTGACGCAGAAGTATCTGTCAAAGCTTATAATGAGAAGATTCATGACAGAGGCATTGCTGACAACATAGTCCAAGGCTAGCCACAGGTCGCACACCACTGGCCCCAGGGGCCAGTAGCCTATTACTATATAAACTGTGTACAAGTTCATGGAGCAGAGTCCAATAATTAAGTCAGCACATGCCAGGCTGAATAAAAAATAGTTGTTGACAGTCTGAAGGTTCCGGTTGACCTTGATGGAAAGCATGACCAGGATATTGCCGATGATTGTGACCAAACTGAGGGAACCGGCCACCAACACGATGAACACTACCTCCACAGTCTTGTAGGGGCTTTCGCTCTCTTCCACAACTTCTGTCCCATTGCCTTCAGAGGCATTCCAGTACGTGAAATTGAACACATCCATGGCATTTGGAGTTTTGTTGCCACCTCCTACTCAGATGGAACCTAAAAGACACAAACAAAGGTGTTTTCAAATAAAAAATAAAAACAAAGACTAAAAATGTAATATACACAAAAGTAGATCAAAAGTGTATTGCAAATAGCCACAACAAAATAAAAAAATCTGTTTTTCCAAATTAATGAGATATTTTTTACAGAATTTTTTTTCCAATTAACAAGATCACTTTTACGAGACATGGTTTAGTTCCTCTATTAGAAGCTCAATAATGCCAGAGAGCATCATTACCACAGCAGAGATTATTATCTTTTCATTTTTTTGTAAACTATCTTGTTTTTGGGGCAGCAGTAGCTCAGGTGGTATAGGGAGTTGCCTCATGATCGGAGGGTCATGGGTTCGATTCCAGCTCCTGCCAGGGGTATCCTGCTGTTGTGTCCTTGGGCAAGACATTTCACCCAACTTACCTGTGTTAGTGGTGGTCAGAGGGGCCGACGGCGCCAAATGGCAGCCTCGCCTCTGTCAGACCTCCCCAGGGCGGCTGTGGCTACAAGTAGCTTCCCATCACTAGCAGAGTGTGAATGTGAGAGTGTGAAAAGCGTCTTTGGGTGTCTAGAAAAGCGCTATATAAGTTCAATGCATTATTATTATTATTATTAAATCAGAAAAAATGTTTTTTTTTTATATTTTTAGCCATATGCAATATTCTTCTGTAAGAAAGAGTTGAATAAACAAGCAAAAAAAAAAAAAAACTAGAACAAAAAGAGTGAAAAACAATATAAACGGGAGCAGAATCAACTGTAATTACAAACAAAAAGCATGAATTAATCTATATTCCTCTACCTTTCTAATGCCATTGATTTAAAGTGATTTTTTAAATATAATTTAAGAATAAACACAAAAAATGCATTTATGTACAGAATAAAAAAAACATTAAGAGATGTATGTGTTTATAGGATGATTTATAGTTGCTTACATGAACATACCGTTCTCTTCCAGAGAAATAACATTTCTGCCGACAAAACCGTCATATGTTGTGTTTTGGTGCCGGTATGCTACTCTAGCCTGGCATGCTGGTGACAGGATGCTGGTCCACCAGCTAAACCAGCACAAAACACAACCTCTACAGGTCTGTGCTGTTTTATCAGCAAGGAAACCCTCTAGTGACAAGCCTGTAGTGAACGTAGCACTTTAATGAGTAGAATGTCATTGTTAATAGCATCACACGCTTTTGATAAATCTACAAAAACACTGTAATCGCCTTTCTTAAGTGCAGCTACTTTTGTTGTTTCTGGGAGTCTTTGTTTCAGTGTAAATGCATCTTCTGACTTCAGTGGTTATTTAGTCATTTGCGTTTGCAGCTCCTCAGTTAGTTCAGCTCTTCACTCACCTGTTCCTGTAATCTAGTAATCTGTAACCTAGCGGCTGCTGCTTGCTTCAGTACCCACCCTCCCAGCATATTTAAACCCTTGGTTCTTTCGGCTGAAGAGGAAAGTTACGGATTGGCCACTCCGACACTTCTCTAGAACGCTTAGAACTAACGACAAGCTGGATAAAATCTGTTGCTGTTCCAACTGCTGCAACGGTTCCTTTCAGAATAAAAGATGAACCATCAAGACCCAGGTTTGGGTCTCACCAGACGCCAACAAAATTGTCGTGACCCGGGAGTATCTCAAGACGGGTGGTCGGCTGCCGCGGCTGCTTCTACGGGCTCCAGCTCCATAAAGGTCAAGCTCGACCTTTACACCTCCTGATCTAGACGGGGACTTCCGCTCAGGGTATGTAGACCGACAAATGGCGTCAAATGAAAAGTTGACAAATTTACCAAACACCATCAAAACCACGCCTCCATCAGATCTGGCAGATTCTGAATGGATCAGTGAAAACAATGTGTCATGCCTTTCAACGCTACGTGAGATCAATCCTAGTGAAGCTTTTAAAGTCATATTACTCATCATATTCTATAGGATTATAATAAAGTAATTAATATTTTTATTTCACAGATTGGTCACATCTGATTTATTGACTAACACTTTGCGTGATTAGCTTATTAAAATAGAGTTCTTTGATTTATTAAAAGGAGAGAGTCCATTTTTCATTCTTCTGTTGAGCTGAAAAGAAGCAGGTTAGAAGCAAATGCATGAGACCTTGAGGCCATATCTCATGCAGACTAGTTCTGTGCAGAGGAGAGGGGGAAACAGTCATTTCATTCCGTTACATTGCTTTATTCCCACATTCTACATTTAGCCTGTATGTGTTTTCCCATTTACGCTGGTTATTAGTTTAGAATTTGCTTGGAGTATTTTTTTTTCTCCTTTATGACCTTTTTTGTTTATCCCCATTTTTAGTCCTCACCTTATTTCTGCCTTCTTTGGCCCTGTTGTCACCTTCAAATCAAACACCACATGCTAAAAACAACCTTAAATGCTGTACACCCGTAAGATCACTGCAAATCCACTCTGCAAGTCATGATCGAAGTGATCCAAAGCATCAAAGTCCAAAAAAAGATTCATCACTTCGTCTTCGTCTTCGTCTTCCTCCGCTTATCCGGGTCCGGGTCGCGGGGGCAGCATACCAATTAGGGAGCTCCAGGCCGTCCTCTCCCCGGCCTTGTCCACCAGCTCCTCCGGCAGGACCCCAAGGCGTTCCCGGACCAGATTGGAGATGTAACCTCTCCAACGTGTCCTGGGTCGACCTGGGGGCCTTCTGCCGGCAGGACATGCCCGAAACACCTCCCCGGGGAGGCGTCCAGGAGGCATCCTGACCAGATGCCCAAAACACCTCAACTGGCTCCTTTCGATCCGGAGGAGCAGCGGTTCTACTCCGAGTCCCTCCCGAATGTCCGAGCTCCTCACCCTATCTCTAAGGCTGAGCCCGGCCACCCTACGAAGGAAACTCATTTCGGCCGCTTGTATCCGCGATCTCGTTCTTTCGGTCATTACCCAAAGCTCATGACCATAGGTGAGGATTGGGACGTAGATCGACTGGTAAATCGAGAGCCTGGCTTTCTGGCTCAGCTCCCTCTTCCCCACGACAGATCGGCTCAGTGTCCGCATCACTGCAGACGCCGAACCAATCCGCCTGTCGATCTCCCGATCCCTCCTACCCTCACTCGTGAACAAGACCCCGAGATACTTAAACTCCTTCACTTGAGGTAGGACCTCTCCCCCGACCCGGAGGTGGCAAGCCACCCTTTTCCAGTCGAGAACCATGGTCTCAGATTTGGAGGTGCTGATCCTCATCCCAGCCGCTTCACATTCGGCCGCGAACCTACCCAGCAAGAGCTGAAGGTCAGAGCTGGATGAAGCTAGGAGGACCACATCATCCGCAAAAAGCAGAGACGAGATTCTCCTGCTACCAAACTCGACACACTCCACACCACGGCTGCGTCTAGAAATTCTGTCCATAAAAGTGATGAACAGAACCGGTGACAAAGGGCAGCCCTGGCGGAGTCCAACCCTCACTGGGAACAGGTCCGACTTACTACCGGCTATGCGGACCAAACTCACGCTCCTCTGGTAAAGGGACTGAATGGCCCTTAACAGAAAGCCACCCACCCCATACTCCTGGAGCGTCCCCCACAGGGTGCCCCTGGGGACACGGTCATAAGCCTTCTCCAAATCCACAAAGCACATGTGGATTGGTTGGGCAAACTCCCATGCCCCCTCCATCACCCTTGCAAGGGTATAGAGCTGGTCCACAGTTCCACGGCCAGGACGAAAACCACATTGCTCCTCCTCTATCTGAGATTCAACTATCGATCGGACCCTCCTCTCCAGTACCTTGGCGTAGACCTTTCCAGGGAGGCTGAGGAGTGTGATCCCCCTATAGTTGGAACAAACCCTCAGGTCACCCTTCTTAAAGATGGGGACCACCACCCCGGTCTGCCACTCCCTAGGAACTGCCCCCGATGACCACGTAATGTTGTAGAGACGTGTCAACCATTACAGCCCTACAACATCCATAGCCTTGAGATACCCAGGACGAACCTCATCCGCCCCCGGGGCTCCGCCGCTGTGTAGTTGTTTGACTACCTCAGCAACTTCTGCCCCCGAGATCGGACAGTCCAGCCCCAGGCTTCCCAGCTCTGGTTCCTCCTCGGAATGCGCATTGGTGGGATTGAGGAGCTCCTCAAAGTATTCCTTCCACCGTCCGACTATAGCCTCAGTTGACGTCAGCAGCTCCCCATCCCCACTGTAAACAGTGTGAGCGAGTTGCTGCCTTCCTCTCCTGAGGCGCCGGACAGTTTGCCAGAACCTCTTTGGAGCCGATCGATAGTCTTTCTCCATGGCCTCACCAAACTCCTCCCACGCCCGAGATTTTGCCTCGGCAACTGCCACTGCTGCACCCCGCTTGGCTATCCGGTACCTGTCTGCTGCCTCCGGAGACCTACAGACCAGCCACGCCCTGTAGGCCTCCTTCTTCAGCCTGACGGCTCCCCGAACCTCTGGTGTCCACCAGCGGGTACGGGGGTTGCCACCACGACTGGCACCGGCCACCTTACGACCACAGCTAGCAACAGCCGCCTCGACAATCGCAGAGTGGAACAAGGCCCACTCGGACTCAATGTCCCCCACTGCTCTCGGGACGTGGTCAAAGCTCTGCCGGAGGTGGGAGTTGAAGACCGTCTTGACAGGTTCTTCTGCCAGGCGTTCCCAGCAGACCCTCACTATGCGTTTGGGTCTGCCAGGTCTACGCGGCATCTTCCCTTGCCATCTGATCCAACTCACCACCAGGTGGTGATCAGTTGACAGCTCCGCCCCTCTCTTCACTCGGGTGTCCAAAACATACGGCCGCAGGTCAGATGATACGACTACAAAATCTATCATCGACCTGTGACCTAGGCTGCCCTGGTACCAAGTGTACCGGTGGGCATCCTTATGTTCGAACATGGTGTTCGTTATGGCCAAACTGCGGCTTGCACAGAAGTCCAATAACAAAACACCGCTCGAGTTCAGATTAGGTGGGCCGTTCCTCCCAGTCACACCCCTCCAGGTCAAGCTGTCATTGCCCACGTGAGCATTGAAGTCCCCCAGCAGGACAATGGAGT